TTCCATTGTGTACAATGGTGCCTCGACTTGTGAATTGGTCGTAAGTGGAAGCACCATTTCCCATAGGAATGCACTCATTAATTCATTTCGGCCAGAGGAGGGGGGAATCAACAAACAAACAAAAAACCACAACCCAAACCACTGCAAGCCACATCAGAATGTGTTGGGGCCGGGGGAAAAATTGCTAAAAAACCACAAACAAACAGAGCAAACCCCATTAAAACTCGCTGGGGCTGAAAAAAATAATCACCAAAAAATAAGACAACATAGCAAGTGTCTGAATGCGCTGGGACCGAAAAAAACACCACACCATAAGAGTTGGTTCAGAACCTAGAGTGGAGGATTTTAGAAATGGCATACGTAGATGCCACATTGAGGGAGACAGTCTTCCATCTCACAATTTATAAATGGGGCAGAGGAGGTGAAAAAACATCTGTCTATTGGATTAGACAGATTCTGATAAAATTAACCAAAACCAGGCTGGCCAGAAAATAGCATGGGGGGGGACTTTAGCTGTGATGGAGACTCCTGGGGAGTCTTGCTTCTGCTGGTTCTGTTCTGACTCTTAAGTGGGAAAGAAATGCACTACCCTGGCATGGAGTGTAGAGGAGCCAAAGATCCTGAACTTAAGCTGTAGGTCATTCTGATGTAGCGGGGGTGGTGGGGCATGGATGACTCTTTAGGTTGGTCATTCTCAACCTTTTTTTCGGCCATGGCCCTTTTTGGAGCTCTTCCGAGGAGGACAAGGATGCAACGTGAACAGGTGAATAGAAAATCCTCTTTCACAGTTTTCAGTCTGTGGACCCCTTCAAGTGTTCCATGGGACCATGTGGTCCCTGTTGTGAATGGCTGCTTTAGATGACCTGTGATGATTTCCACCCATAGTGAAAAGAGCCGAACCGTGTAGGAGAGCTGCACCACCGTATCTTGTTGATGCCACCATGTCATAAGCATGACACTAAGTCGAGGAAAGTTCGGAAACTGAGCTAGGCACCCATATGTTCCTCTCCATGCTTAAGGGGTTGGTCAAGTTACTTGTAAACCTTGCTTGTCTGTAATTGTCTGAAGAATAGAACGGACAAGAGCTGGTTTTGCCAGATCTAAGCCACACTTACTGTAGAAGGAGGATATGTTTGCCCACATTATTACTCGACATAATTACTAAATGCTCCTTCCAGAAAAACCAACCAATTATTGGTAGTAAATGCAAAATATCTCAGTGGCATTTATTTTCTGTGCAGGTGGTGGTAATCTGTGTAAATGTTTTTCCCTGCAGGAAAAAAAAATGTGCCGGGAGTGAGGTTTCCAGGCTCAGCTTCTGAAATAGGCAGCTGCGAAATCCATTTTGGGGTCCTGGATAGTCTTTGGAGTAGAAACTTTATTTTCACATTTGTTTTCAGTAATTTTGTAGGTGCTCTGTCACCAGGGTGCATTATCATCTGGCGATACTTGCTCTGTGATGTTGTGTACAAAAAGGGGAGATTTAATGGTCTGTGGAAGACTAGATTAGTGACAAAGGAAGATTAGTGACAAAGGAGAGTTTTTCTCACTTCGACTGCAAATTCTGTACATGGTGTACCTGTTCCTGTTATTTCAAAGGGCTCAACAGGACTATAGATTGTTCCTTTCTAGTATAGGTTCAACTGAGATATGTCCTGTTTCTGAAACATTACTCCTGAATTGAAGTGCCTAGGACTGCACTGTAATCCCATTGAGTTTAGTAAGTGAGAGAGAATAGGATTGCTACTAAATCGGGTATAGAATTGCTGCTTTACATTGAGCCTGTATAGTATATTAGTTGGACTATTGGGTCTCAAGAAGATGGATTGAAATACCTACTCTTGCTATGAAGCTCACTGTTGAATTTGAGCCAGTCTATGATCTCCTTTCAATGCATTTGTCTGTAAAAGAGGTGACAGTAGCCCAAAATCTCCAATAAAACAGGTTTATTATCTTAACAACTTATCACGTGGAAACATGTTCACATTATTCGGTTCCGCTTTTAACAACAAATCATACTTCTTAACTTCTATCAAACCAGGTAATTCTCCTTGCAACAAAAGAGGAGATGAACTCTTAACTGTAGGTGCCCGTTTCTGCCTAGTGCCCGAGGTGTGTCTGGCATATTGTCTGTTAGGGCTATGGTTGTGGATGGTATACCCAGCCCACCTGTGGCTTCCAGACTTTCTTCCCCTTGTTCTGTTTCAGCGGGGGTCTGAAAGGACTGAGCCCACGAGGTCTCCCAGTTGACGCCATACAACTCCTCTGTTCTTTTGTTTGTTCTTCCCTCTCTTCCTTTCCCTTTCCTCTGTCTCGCCCCAATATGGTGGCTTTCTATAGGTTTGTCTTTTCCATTCTTTCTCTGCATATTCTCTGGGTACTCGAAACTCTACCCATTCCCCTGTCCAGGGATCTTCTTGTACCAAACCTACTAAGTATTCTCTTTCCTCTGCTATATACTAAGTCTTCTCTTTCCTCTGCTATATCCTCCTCAGGCCAACACACTTCTCTTTTTTCCTCCTCCAGACTGCTGTCCCCCTCCTTCTCCCCCTCTTTTCTATCCTCCCTTTTCCTCTGCCACATTAATGCCCCATAGTGCTTCTGTACTTATTTCCAGTTGCTTTAACCCTCTTTCAGTGGTTTCTCTTCCTCTGCTCTGTTGATATGGGAGTTGGATGGTACACCCTGGAGAGTATCCCTGGGTCTACTTTCATCCTCACACAGTCTCATACTGTGAACCTAACCAATTCCACAGGCCTGTTATGAAGAGAAGGAACATTAGTTTCTATGATTATGGCACTGGTGGTTGATACTTCCAGAAACAAACAAATAAAACTAAGGAGTACTTGGAGGCCAAGATCCTCTAAATGGAGTGGGTTTTATTTTTTAGATGCTGGCTTGTTTTTTCTTGAAAAATGTGGTCCTCAAGCTACAAGGGAACTGTTTTGTATTGCTTGGAATTAGATCAGGCCATTGGCGATGCAGGCTGTTAAGCACCAGTTTTGGCCTTCCAATTATATTGGACACAATTTCAGTACATTGGGGGGGGGGACAAGTTGTGTGTGAGGGGAGGATTCTTCATTGCAGCCTTTTCTGCTTGAGTGCCCTGCATGCCCCGGCCCCAGATTTAGTTCTGTGGTTCTCAACTTCTGTCCCACAAGATTTTTACACTTCAACTCCCAGAATCTCTGACCATTGGTTGAGCTGGCTGGGACTTCTGGGAGATGAAGTCCACAGAATTCAGAGGTAGAGAAGCACTCATCTTCCAGACTTCTAAATCGACACACAAGAAGAAAGGCTAATCCAGTACAGATGTTCATCCTCAAACATGTGGAAGACTAAAGAGCAAGGATGTGTGGAGCAGGCCAGTTAATTCTTCCTCACTTTCTGCCTCATGTCGTGGAAGCGAGGGGAGTAGGGAAAGAATCTCTGAATAGATTTCATACTTAATCTGATTTACATCTAATTTGTCAAGAGTGGGTTGCATATGAATTCTCAGTTTAGTGATATCCCATTGTCAAAAATTATGTGCCTGACTTGTGTAAGCCAAGGGTGTGATCAGATGGGGAAATAGCTTGTTCTTCTTTGTGCTCCTTGTTAATACACACAATAGGGTTTGTTCTGTGCTTGCGCAGAGGTTCTCGGAAGCTTCTAGAGCTTTAGCACACATTCACCAGGACTGCTCCCTGAGCACAGATCATGCAATGCATGGGAGATTGTGAACCAGCTTGACCTTGATCCATGTGCAAAGCTACTATCTTCTTCTTTTTTTGAAAGCTGGGCTGGAATGATTCCTCCATGGACGGAAGGGTTGCTCCAAGGGAGATCACTCCCAGTGAAGCAGCCCTCTCCTGCACAATTAGGCATGAGCCTTTTTTTTTGTACAGTAGTTTGATTGCACCCTCAATCAGGGAGAAGACCTGCCTTGCAGAAAGGTTAGAATACAATGGGTAATGATGTCTCTCTTGGCCACTTTTCAGCTTTCTGTGAAAAATATGATTTTCTAAAGAATTCAATTATCTACCTCCAAAGAAATCTGAGACAAGAAGTGTTGATTACTGGAGAACATTTTAACTTTCAGCAGCAACTTGGAGAACATCAGGTTTTGTTAGTTTTATTCCCCAACCCATCCTGATTTTACAGGGAAATTTAAAGGCATAAGTGACGAAGGGTAGCAGGTTGGAGTAACTGCAAGAGAGTGGGTCTTTGCTTGCAGTTGTGGCTGTGATAGTAAAACTGAACTACTTCAGATGGAGGTGGGGAATATGTCCCTTCTCCAGTTCTGAAATGTAAAAACTTGAATGTGGAAGCCTCTCTGCTGACAGCATGAAGACTTTGGTGCTCCCAAAAGAGCATTGAATTCTGTGATCTAACATCCCCAGCCATGCTTAGAGTGGCACAGCCAGGAGACTTTCCATCTCAATGAGAACTAGGTTGGTCTGGTTATTTGTTTGATTGGTTGATTTTATATACCACCCCTTTAATGGAAACACTGCTCTTGGTAGTTTACAAATTAAAAACCCAGAACTTCACGTGAGCCCACGTGGCAATACATTCAATATGGCAGTTCACTGATCTAGATTTAAAATTCATACGGAAAGAACAAGAAAGCACAAGAAAATTAAGTGAATAGTGACATCATTCGGGTGATAGGTTATTGAAGGAAGCTTTATATATAATTTCATCTTCACTAATTTCCTAACTACCAGGATGGAAGAAACCTAGCATATGTCAACCGGAAGCTTATTCCAAAGATTGGGGGCTACCACCAAGAAGGCCTGGTTCCTTGTTGTCACCTTTTGGCCTCCCTCAGTGTGGCCACTTTTAGCAACTTGGACTAAGGGGAGGGGGTGGAATGGATGGTTGATTTCTGAGAGAGACGTTCCAACAAGTATCAAGGTTCTAAACCTTTAAGGGCTTACCTGTGTAGTTGAAAAGCTGTCTCTCTCACTCCCTCTGGTTCCCTCATCAGTTTCTTCATTCTTTTCTGCTCTTCACAGGCTACATCCAGAAAATAAAATCTGGGGAGGAAGACTTTGAAACCTTAGCATCACAATTCAGTGACTGCAGCTCAGCCAAGGCTGGAGGAGACTTGGGTACTTTTGGAAGAGGTAAGTTGATTTCACTTGGTCACAGTTCTAGTATGTCCCAAGGGGAGAGGAGGTTTTCAAAAGCAGGGATGAGAATTTCTTTCCCTGATGAAGAAAATGCTTTTATGTAAACATCTGCTTAGTTGGACATGTAAAGAGGAGTTTTAAAAGGTCAGTTGGCAGTAATGTTGAAAATCTTTTTTTATGCCCAAGCTCAAAGTCCATGGGCTGTTCATTTCAAGAGATACATGGTGTCTAGAGACCTACTTGTACAAAGTCCTGGGTTCCATGGATTATGGCTAAGAATAATGCAGGTCTAACAGGACAATGCTGGTCAGATGTCAGATTATGAGACAGATTTTCTGGGCACTGTTTAAGTTCTACCAATAGCAATGGAGAAAAAGGAGACAGCTTTTTTTTTTTACTTGCATGGAATGTGACCCTCAGAAGGATGCTGCTCCCTCCTCTGTCTATTAATCTTGTGATGTCATCCCCCGCCCATGACCTGCTACAGTAGTAAGAGACAGTGCTCATAAGCAGCCACAACCTTGGGGTTGTTGTTTGTGTTTCTGAGTGTAGTCCCCCCTCTGCCCAGTTCTTCTCACATCTTGTGTGGGTTAAAGGCTGCACGAGCTTGTCTGTTTCAGGGCTGGTGTTTTCTGCTTTTGGATTCTCAGTCCAATTCTTAAGGGAGTTTATTTGGGGAGAGGAGAGAACTAGTATGTTCATGTTTCAATGCCAGCAGTGTGGCCTCCTCTCCAGCCATGTGACCAGTGCTATGATGCCACCACCACAATGCCCCCTCACTTATATAGGTCTTCCCAGGAACCTCTTGGGTTTGTTCATTTCAGAATACAATGTATCACTGCCGTTTGTGGGTGCCATTTAGGGGAATCCTCCCTTAGGCTTGAGGGATCTCTAAATGATTAACGCTCAAGCCTCTTGAAGCACACATAGCTAAGTGAGGGCTGCCCATCTTGTGAATCACTAGGCTGAGAGGTTGCCCTCATTGCTTGTGGCCATGGCTAAATAAGAGAGTAATGCACTGTGTTGTTTTAAGAGTAGAGTGTTGTGACCAGTTATGTACTCCTTAAAGGTCCCTTTCTGGATTGTCTGACCCGATTGCATGTTTGGATGCCCAATACTGAAATAGAGGCATCCCTTTTAAGACGAATTAAATGCATATGTACTTTGGTCTTTGCTCTGAAACAAAAAGATTCTTAAACAGCATCCTAAGATACTGTGATCTGATTACAGCATTGTCTACCTTGTTCATCCCAAAGGTATCACAGGGCAGTGATTGGTCTTTCCATCTGTTACAACTTAAGGCCTTTCTCTGTTTCATTCCACCTGATTAAGTTTCTTGTCTGCTTTATTGCACCAGCTGAGGCCTGGCTTCCTCTCTCTCTCTCTCTCTCTCTCTCTCTCTCTCTCTCGTTGGCTTCAGCTGGGTGTTTATATTAAAGGCTACTTAGTTGTTAACAGTTTCACCGCATGGAGGTTGTTTCACCTGCTGGGTTCTGCATTTGATCAATCGTTGGTGCTAGCCTTTTCACATGACACAATAGACCTAGAAGGAATCCCATAGGTTATCTGGCTTTGTTCTCGGACAGTTGAGTTAGGAGTGCTGGAGCCTGTGTTTCAGCGATTTCATTCTGAAAATACAGAAACCTGGTCTCCTCACCAGAATAGCCTTCATAAAACAAAAGCGACACATACAGATGTACACTGACAGCTAACACCGAGGGAAAGTTTTAATCCTCAGGGGTGTGTAGAGAGAAGCTTGTTGAAACAAAAAGGAATATCCCAAGATAGTTGGAACAGGATTTCTGTGGTTCATGGTAGACTTTACAGGTGGCATGGCCAGAGAGGAGGCAATTTCCTTGGTTTTCCTGGTTAGTGTTACTATCCTCATGTCTGAGTCAACTGACTTGAGGATAGAAGTAGCACAGTGCTGGTGCTAGTCCTTTTCATGAGGAAGGTGCCAAGTTCCACCTCCACCATCTGTAGTGAAAAGGGAATGCACAGGAAAAGGCTGTAGTTTAGTGGTAGGGCTCATGGCTTTGCAAGCAGGTGTTGAAGATTCAGTCTCTGGCATCTACAGGTGGTGCTGGGAAGTTACCTTGTGGAGCTCTTGAGAGCTGTTTCCAGGCAGTCCTTATCCTATAGGGATAGATGGACAAAGGGTGTGACACTATAGGAGTCGGCTTTCTGTGATCCTCTGTCCCTTCCTCTCTCTGTCATCAGGGCCTGAGATCTGTACGGCTGCAGTCAAGTGGAAACGACTAAGCTGGGTGGACCACTCTGTATGGCCTAGCATAAGGCAGCTTGATGTGTCCACAAGGGTTGTGACCCTTTGGTTCCAGCCGCTTATTTATACAGTGGGGTCTTAATTTGAGAACTTAATCCGTATTGGAAGGCGGTTCTCAAGTCAAAAAGTTCTCAGGTCAAATCTGCATTTCCCATAGGAATGCATTGAAAACCATTTGATCCGTATCTGCTCTTTTCCGTCCATAGAAACTAATGGGAAGCTGCTATTCTGCCTTCGATCACTAGAGGGGGATATTTTGTTTCTTTTTTTCTTAGGTCAAGAAAGGTTCAGGGAAGGCAGGGAAAATACAGTCCAGGCAGTACCAGGCAGTCTGAAGACTCCCAATCCACTCTCTAAACGCTGGGACGAGTGAGGAAGCAGACAGGCACCCTTTTCACTGGCCAACAGTTAACTGAAAGTTCACATTTTGCACTTTCCCTGCCTCCCACATGGTTTTTTTTAGTTCTTAACTCAAATCTAAGTATGTAAGTCAAGTCAATATTTTCCTATGAGAGCGGTTCTTAAGTCAAAATGTTCTTACCTCGAGCCGTTCTTAAGTCAAGACCCCACTGTACTTTGCCAGTTAAGCACACTGGCAGACCTTTGCTTACTTTGTATGACTTGGTTCTGCTTCTTTGCACCATGGGGAGAGACAAAATACAACCCAGCCTGCTGAAGGTCTCCTTCTCTTGCTAGGCTGGCCAGGCCTCTAAGCTTCTGAGTTTCACTAGCCTTTTTTCATGCATATGCCAGCTTGCAGTCTAGGGAGTTGCTTTTGTTTGAGACAGAGATGGGGATATTTGTATTTGTATACAAATATGAATATCCCCCTACAGGTGGAAATAATGAGGGTCCGGCCCCATGGGGCCAGACTGTCACTCACCGTTCCGCTGCTGATGCCAGCTTAATGGAGCCTTCCTATCTCACCATTGTCTGCAATGGATTAGCCATTCTGCGACCTGGCAGAGAAGCTTGTCATCCCGCCTCCTTCCAGGAGTCGTTAATCTATTGCAGACAACAGCGTGATAGGAAGGCTCCATCGAACTGGCGTCAGTGGTGGAATGGTGAGTGGACAGTCTGGGCCGGACCCTTGTTATTTCCACCTGTGGGGAGATATTCAGATATGAATACCCCCATCTTAGTCCCGAGACAACCAGGATGCTGCATATTGAGACTGATGCTGTTTTCCTACACTTGCTGGAAATAGGGGGAAGCTGAATGGGGCATGACCTAAAAAGCAGGCAGGGGGCAATGAAATAGAGGAGCAGAGCTAGTGAGCAAGCAGGCCCTCAGGTCTGCTACTCAACTCCATCTGTTCTCAGAGCCTTTAATTTCATGTCTTGAGGTCTATGAAGAACAGGTGCTATAGTGTGGAAAGTGAGAGTTGAACCTAATGGGGAAGCCTTGCCTGCTCATGGTATGAGAGGGATATCGTTTAATTGCTTGTTGTTAGAGTGCCATTGAGATGCCAGCTCCTCATGACCCCCTTCTTTTACTGCTTTGTTGGCAACAGGATGATGATGAAAGCAGGCTGCATGATCACTGGTTCTCTGATAAATACGGTATCCCCCACAACAGCAGTCCCCAACCGTTTTTGGTCCGTGGACTGCCTGGGGAAGGTGGGGCACACCCACGCTCTTGTGCATGCGTGAACAAGTGTGCGCTCTCTCGCACAAGCCCATGTGAGCGCCGCACCGCCATTTGCACATATGTGCATGCGCAAACGGTGGCAGTACACTTGTCTGGGTGCGCTTGCACTCATGCACATGTGCAGATGGCGGCGCGGCACTCTCATGGGCGTGCTGGAGCACGCACACAACAGCAAACGCCGCACCGCCATTTGCACATATGTGCATGCACAAACAGTGGCAGCGCACTTGTCTGGGTGCGCTTGCACTCATGAACATGTGCAAATGGCGGCGCGGCACTCTCACGGGCATGCTGGAGCACACACACAACAGCAAACGAGTTGTGCGGGGGTGAGTGCATGCGGGGGGTGGGGCAGGAGGTCTGTCTCCGCGACCTTGTCCAGCTCAGGCCACGGGCCGCGGACTGGGTGTTGGGGACCTCTGCCCTACAACATAGTTGATGTTTGCTCAGCTGCAGAACTACAGTTGGGCATTTTCTTGCTTTGGAGCAATTGTTCTGTGCTATCAAGCCTAACTTATAGCACCCTTAATATAGCTTTCAAAGTACATAGGTGAGATAGTGAAGGAGTGGCTTTATCAGTTTCACCTCCCTAGTGAGTTTCCATGGCTGAGTGGGGACGAACCCAAGCCTTCTGAGTATTAGTCTGTCCTGTGGCAGTTATGTCATGCACACACCTGTCACTTGAAATGTTTTCCCAGGCAAATGGCCTCTGGGTAGCTCTGAAATTCACATGTGGCCTACTAGTCCTAGAAGTCTCTGTCAGATGGTCAGTGGGCTTAGGTGTTTTCCCTGCATAACCCCATGTTTATTTCAGAACCCATAAAAACGTATTTATTTTATTTTTAAAAAAGAATATTTATTTTTCAATATATGGGGATAGCTTATATAGCCTACTTATTTTAAAATCTATACTGTACTTACTATTCTGAGCAATGCTGCATTTTAATTTTTGTGACCATTTTGGAGAGTGAACTCTACTCATGTTGCATAATATTTTTTGTTAAATTGGCTCTGTGCCCCTTCTAATCTAATAGACAAAATAGTTTTCCCACTTTTTTCA